CAGTGAGCGGGAACCGGTCTGTATGTGGGATCCAAACCCTTGGCGGGAGCGCCGCCGTGCTTCCCAAGCGGGGCACTATAGCAGTGCACCACCGGGCCGGCCCGTGGCTTCTGGTTATTATTGTCTAAGCTGTAATTTATGTCTCATCTTGGAGACTTGCACCTTTCAGTAGGGGTACAGAGCAGGGAGCAGGAGTCTCTTGTAACAGGTTTGTCAAGAAGGGCTACATTGAAGGGGTGGGCAGAGAGGAAATAGGGGGAATGTTTCGTATTATGAATTTGAATAGTCAGTTTCTTATTTAAACTTTTTAATGTCAATATCATCCATCTTCAATAAGGACTGAAACAATAAATAAGTTAAAAGTTTTATTATTAAAATTCATAAAATTAAGTGGGAAATAAATCAAAATAATTAAACTTTCAAATGCTGTGGGTTTTTGGGGGATAAATTTGTAGCATAAATACTTTAAAAATTCTTCAAGCTTAAAATACATGAAGGCTTTTGGGATACCCCCTGTAGCACAGGGAGAATTAGAACTGGTGAGGGTGGAGGGTGGAGTTGGTGTTGTTTGTGCACCTTTAAGTCTCAGGTGCAGGATGTGGCTCAGTAAATGATAATGGCGAGGCAGGAGGAGAGACTGGCATGGGGTTGGGGAAAGAGATATGGAAGGTGCAGTGTGAGGTGCTGGAAGGATTATCAGGTGGACTTGGCCAACTAACAGGAAAACATGGGGGATTAGCCTGGACAGAGAAGACTAGACTCTAGGGATAGACTTGGGAGCCACCTGCACAGATGTGCTTGCCGAAGAAATGGAAGTGATGGAGACTGCTCAGAAGGGAGAGGAAAAGTAAGGACAGACCCTTCAAGGACTGCAGCGTTCAGGAGTAAGCAGGGTGAAGCAGAAGTGGCGAAAGTTCTATGGAGAAGTTTGGTATTAAGGGAGGGCAAGTGGGTTGATCGAATGTGTAGCAGGGTCAAGGGAAGGCATTTTTAGGATGGGAAAACAATATGTTTAGGGACTGGGAGACTGGAACTAATGAAAAACGACAGATTGAAAATATAGGAGAAAATGTTTAATAGATTAAAGATTAATACAGAGTCTCCTGACACAAGCACACAAAGAGAACAGGATCTGCAGCAGCTGTTGGGGAGGGGGTTAGGCTTTCAGAGATGGAGGGGCAGATCTGTGCTGAGAGAAAAGAAAGAATGGGAGAGGAGATGCAAAGGGAATTTTCAAGTGAAGGGACACACATAGAAGTAATTCACGCAGATGACTTCAATTGTCATCACGATGTAATCATAGTAACAGCATCAGCTATCACTTATAGAGCGTTATCTATGTGCCAGCCTAAGACTAAGCACTTTACACACTCTGCCTGTATCATCGCATTAATATTTCCAGCGATTTCATGAGGTAATAATTATTAAAAGCCCCATTTTACAGATATGAAAACTGAGGCTAAGAGTGGTAAGTAACCTGCCAATTAATCTTAAAGGTGGAATAAGAAGCTAGATCTGTTATATTCCAAGGGCTCTATTTTTAAACACTTCATTACGTTGAGTGACAACACCCCTCCTCCCCCCAGCTACCTAGCCAAGGCAGAGAGTCAGGATCCAGGAGTCAGGAGACCTGGGTTTATTGTGGTTGCTTTAATTTCTCGAAATGCATATTCTGGGTCCCAAGTCCACAAAGTCTGATCCACAGATTTGGGAAATGGTCCAGAAATGTGCATTTTCTTCAAGGTTACATTTTGATGTGACTCTGATACAATGATCTGATGCACTGCCCCATACGTTGAATAGCCCAGAACCAGGGTTATATTGTGTTCATGGGCTTCTTTCTTAAAAAAATATTTCTCAGCAGGGTCCAGCTTTTGGCCTGGAAACATGGGTTTCTTCTGAGAGTTTGTTGATACTAGAAGGTTCATCCTCTTACCTGTATAAGGACTTTGGGATCAAACTGAGGCAGTTCATGAACAAAGAGTGTAGATCCTGCTGTCCATGGTTCAACTAGAGATCCCACGGTGGCCATAATCCAGCCTGTGTCCGACGGGCACCAGTGGACATCAGACGGCTTCAGCTGCATCAATCTCCTGCTAACTCCCAAAATGCAGTGGCCTCAGCTGTGTGATCGTGGGAGGATGTAATCGAGGGCTGGGGAGTCTGGTCCTTAGCTACGGGCCCACTTCTCTCTCAGTTGCTGGGGTTTTTGTGGGGCTCAAGCTCCCTCCCACCCCAGGTCCCAAAGGTGTACTTCCAAATCATATTTCCTGATCATATGCAGCTTCGGGCCCACTTCTCTCTCAGTTGCTGGGGTTTTTGTGGGGCTCAAGCCCCCTCCCACCCCAGGTCCCAAAGGTGTACTTCCAAATCATATTTCCTGATCATATGCAGCTTAAACTGGTTCAGTCATAATGATCCTTAAGGCTTTTGCTAGAAGTGCTGGGACAAAGTCCATTGCTATTTTTCTGGATTTATATCTGTTACTGATGTAGTGCCAGGTGATGCTGGCAGACATTTGGGGACAATAAGGGATGGTGCTTTCAGAGAACACCTCCAACATAGCAGAAATGGAGTGGAGAGATGGAGAGACGAAAACCTAATTTCGAGGCTCTCCAGAAGCTAAACCCTGGACTGGTCTCTTTCACAAGCCAGTAAATTTCCTTATTCACTCTCTGGCTTAAAAAGGTTTGGGTTTGGCTTTCCAGTGTGTGTGTGTGTGTGTGTGTGTGTGTGAGAGAGAGAGAGAGAGAGCGAGCACTGTGTCTTTGGGGAGATTCTCTATGATAAGCCATCCATGCTCGCTCATTCCATCTCTCTTAGGATTGTAGCACCTGCACAGGAAATTTTTAGCTAAGACGACCTCTCTTCTGAGCTTTAGACCTAACTACCCACTAAACATCTTTTCTGGAATGTCTTTCAGGCACCTCAAACTCAGCAGATCCTAATCTCCCTTGCCTGCCATGAATGGGTTCTCCTCCAGTGTTCTCTGTGTTTCAGTGAACATCATCACTGTCCATGAAACTGTCCAAGCCCAAAATCTGGGAGTCAACCTTGACTCCCCCACCTCACTGCTAATGTCTAGCAAGGAGATCCTGTCTAGTCTATCTCCTGAATCTCAAACGTGTCAACTTCCTTTATGTCTCTGGCACCTGCTCCAGGCCATCGCCATCTTGCACCTGCATTACTCTAAGAGTCTTTACCTGCCTGGTCTTCCCTAAGTCCTGTCTACCTTTCTCCAACTCATTCTCCATCCTGCAACTGCAGTGATCTTTTCAAAATACTAATTTGAGCAGGTTTCTCTTTCACTAAAAACTTTGGAATACCTCATCTTTTTCCTAACAAAGTCCAAACTCTACACCAAGGCCCGTGAGACTCAATGAACTGGGTCCTTCTCACTTTTCCAGCTCTTCACACCAGCTATTCTCAAGTCTCTGCAGTGCTATGAATGCTACTTTTTATATCATGTGCCTTTTTCCTTGTTATTCCAACTGCACAGAAAGCCCTCTTTTCTTTCACCTTCATTCCTTCAGGCATTTTGCTACTTGATTGTTACCATTAGTGTAAATACCCGCTACCCACAAGAACCCTCTGCCACCTGTTCTGGTTAATAAGTTACAAAATATATACAACTTGGTCCGGTCTGAATATTACTAGTTTGAGTGGAGCAGGAAGAGGTAAGAAGTTTGGTTTAAAGTGGATTAAGTGTTTGGATCCCTATACCAGACAGCCACCAAAAATTAAAAATAAATATAAAATAAATAAAATAAAGTTGACTGAATGATTAACCCAAGGTTTCAGCCTCTATGTATTGTTTGTTCTAGGTTAGGGGCAGTGGCTTGCCAGATATTTTCTTACCTAGAAGTTCATGGTTGGGAAATACCAAGTTTGATTTGCCCATAATGGTGGAGAGGAGGGACCTGTCACTTAAGGTCACACTGCGAAAACATTCTGTCTTTCCCCAGCAAACTGTGGAGCCGTCAGGGACACAATGGCTTGTCATTTGTGTGGCTTGTGGAATGCCTGCCACCTCTGCCCACATTTCCTCCACACCTCTGGGGAAGGTGCTCAGGTGGGACCCAAATTGGCCTCCTTTGTTGTTCTGTGTCTCTGTCAGCAAACATTTAGGATTCCCGGACTTCACCTCTCAGACTCTCAGAGGTCTGAACCAAAGAGAGCAGGAGGAGAAACAGGATGGAGTCACTTCTATTTAGAGCTCTTTTCCCAACACACACACACACACACACACACACACACACACACACACACACACACACACACCTTGCCCCAGATCTAGGACCCAGCTTCTAAGTCAGTGGCCTCTTTCTTACCATGAAGGGAGAGAGGATCGTAAGGCAAGTCCGTGGTTGTGTTTTGCCATCTTGGGCTGTCCTGTGGTCCCACTGGTGAAGAAGATGGTCATTGGGTCCATGGTCTTTGACTTAATACAGGTATGGTCTGGGGATGCTGATCTGCAAAGGGATTCAAGAGAAAAGGAGAAAAGTCATTTTGGCTGTTTTCCTATCTTTCGAGGAAGCACAAGAAACAACATGAGGCATGGAGTCAGGAAACTGGGCATTTGTAATGCTGGAGGAAAACCTGGTTCTCCCAGGGTCCAGCATCAAACTGACTTCATGAGTGATTCAGACAAGTGGGCTGGTATTTATTCATTTAGAAAATGGGGAGAATACATGAATACAACCCCAAAAGCACGGGCAACCAAAGGAAACATAAACAAATGGGATTATATCAAACTAAAAAGCTTCTGCACAGCAAAAGAAACAATTAACAGAGCTAAAAGACAACCAACAGAGTGGGAGAAAATATTTGCAAATTATACATCCGACAAAGGATTAATATCCAGAATATACAAGGAACTTAAACAACTTTACAAGAAAAAAACAAGCAACCCAATAAAAAAATGGGCAAAAGAGCTAAGCAGGCAATTCTCTAAGGAAGATATACAAATGGCCAACAGTCATATGAAAAAATGCTCAACATCACTCAGCATCCGGGAAATGCAAATCAAAACTACACTGAGATACCATCTCACCCCAGTGAGGATGGCTAAAATCCAAAAGACTTTGAACGATAAATGCTGGCGAGGTTGCGGAGAAAAAGGAACTCTCATACATTGTTGGTGGGACTGCAAAATGGTGCAGCCTCTATGGAAAATGGTATGGAGATTCCTCAAACAGTTGCAGATAGATCTGCCATATGACCCAGCTATCCCACTGCTGGGAATATATCCAAAGGAATGGAAATCATCAAGTCGAAGGTATACCTGTTCCCCAATGTTCATTGCAGCACTCTTTACAATAGCCAAGAGTTGGAATCAGCCCAAATGTCCATCATCGGATGAGTGGATACGGAAAATGTGGTATATATACACAATGGAATACTACTCAGCTATAAAAACGAATGAAATACTGCCATTTGCAACAACATGGATGGACCTTGAGAGAATAATATTGAGTGAAACGAGTCAGGCAGAGAAAAAGAAATACCACATGTTCTCACTCATTGGTGGGAGCTAAAAATAAACAAATTAATTCACCCACATACACACACACACACAAAAACCGGGGAGGGGGGAAGAAGATATAACAACTATACTTTTTTGAAGTTGTTACAACAAGCAAACGGAAAGGACATTCTTGGGCGGGAGGGGAGAGAGGGAGGAGGGAGGGAGGTGTCGGTGATGGGCCATAATAATCAAATACATTGTATATTGACAAAATAAAAATTTAATGAAAAAAAAGAAAGAAAGAAAATGGGGAGAATACAGTTGACTATTAAAAAAAATTGACACTTAAATAGGACTTGTTATGTTCCAGGCAATGCTTTAAGTGACTTACAAATATGAACTCATTCAATCCTCAGAGCAGCCCTAGGAGGTGAGTACCACTCTAATCATGCCCATTTTGCAGATAAGGAAACCAAGGCTCAGAGAAGTTAGGTAAGTTGGCTGAAGAACCTATAGCTAGAAAGCAGCAGAGCCAGGATTCAAGTTCAGACAGTATGAGCCACAGTCTGTGCTCTTAACCACACTGCTAAGGGTTGTTTTTTTTTTTTTGGTTTTGCTATTTTGTTTTTTTTTAAACATAAACTACCTTTATAGGAATTTAACTCTGTGACCTTGGTGATGAGTGGTGGGGAGAAGATAGCAAGGGAGAGCAGGAGTGAAAGAATATATATAATCACTGCACTCGATGTTCTTCTGCCCTGACATGAGCTTGAGATGGCAAGTGGAATCTGTGGTTCCCTCTGTCTCCCTTATTCCTGGAGCTTCTCCTAGACTGAGAGGCCCTTGGGCCTCCAATGCTTGTAAGTGCAAGTGTTCTATGGCATTCAAAGAAACTACAGATAATCCCAGCACTGGAGGAAACATGACTCTGCAGGTCTTGCTGAGAAATGGTACCATACTGCCTCTGGGAAATTTTTACAAAAGTTATTATTTTTTATTGTGGTAAAATATATATAACACAATGTCTGTCATTTTAAGCATTTTTAAGACATATGATTCCATGCAATTAATTTCATTCACAATGCCATGTGACCACTACCTCTATTTCTAATACTTTTTCATCATCTTAAACATAAACTCTGTACCCATAAGCAATAACTTCCATTATTACTCCTCCCCCCATATGAGGAATTTTTCAAAAGTATTATTGATTTTCAGCTGTTTTCATCAAATTTTCTGACTTGAGAATCTAGCATAATATGTGACTCTGAAATGTTTGCCTTTTGACACTGAAATAATGGGTTTTAAAAACCTGAGGTGTTAGTCCAAGAAAACAAACCCAGCATAGTTTGTGTATGTGATATGAGATATACCTGAATGCTTACAGAGTCAGAGTTTTGGAGGAGGAACGGGTTTTTCTCACCTCCAACACTTCCCTAACTTTGCCTGGAAGTTGTCCCTAAAGGCACCCAGCCCCTGGGAGATAGAAAGTGTTTGCTCTCTAAGCCGCCTGCCAGCCATAGCTTGGCAATTTAGTTTTTCTTCAAGTCTTGAGTTTCATCTTAAAAATTCCTTTTAATCTTTTATTCAACCTCTTCATATTTTTTTACATAAAGATAAGATTTTAGATTCCCCACCTACAAGGAATAGTTAATATGGTAACTCCCTGACTTTACAAATCTCTTTGCACAGTCCCAGGGGTGAATATAGTTTAATGAGAGGAGCATGACAGTCCAACTTCCTTATTTCACAGATAAAGCAACCGAGACCAAGAGAGGGGAAGGAATCAGGCCAGGTCAACACAGCAAATCAGTGGCATAGCTGGGAAGAGAAGGCTTCTGGCATCAGACTTGATAAGCTTTCTACCACTGGATGCTTGTCTCCCAGCACTTAGGAGTGAATGGCCTTCTCTCACCATTCCTCAGAGTACATATTTATCAGACCAGAGACTCACTTAATCAGTGACTTCAAGTCCAGCCATCCTTCACGGCTGTGATCGGACACCAGGATCTTGGCTTTCAGATCGGGGCACTCAGAAGCCACAGAGTCCACCTCTGGGGCAAGTGTATCTGTGGTCACAATGCCCTTGGCTTTAGATGCTTGTAGTCGGTAGAGAATGTCCTTCCTCTTCAACTGGGTGGTCCCTGGCATGAAGACGATCCCTGGGGATGAGAAAGAAACTGCTTGTTTTATTTTCTTCTTCTTCAAAATGATGGGCTTCAGGCCTGGTTTGTCTGCATAGAAATCCCCTAACCTCTTGCTATGCAAAGTATGGTCTGCAGACCAGCAGCATCAAGTACCACCTAAGATGCAGAATCTCACACCCTGTGCCAAACCTACTGAATCATAATCTGCATTTTAACAAAATTTGCAAGTTACTCCCATGGGCATTAAAATTTGAAAGCCCCACCCTAACCTTTTGTACTCTGGATGGATCCAGCCAAAAGACAGGTGGACCCTGCTTTACACAACTTCACATCCATTCTGGGAATACAGATACAAATAGCACAGTGTCCCTGACATCAGTACTGACTGCATCCCTGCTCCCATCTTCCTCCTCTCTCTTCCCTCTCCGTCAGTCCCTTGACATCACCTTGAGTCTCCTCTCTTCCGTTCATTCCAGATTTAATCACATTGTCCTCTGAACTTTCCTACCTTCCCTTCCATTTCCATCACCAACAATGAGTTCAAGCCTTTGTTTGCCCCACTGGGTTCTCATTCCTCCACCAGATGCCCTGTTATGAATCTTCCTGTCACTCATCTTCCATATTATTACTTGCTCGAGTTCCATAAAGCACTGACATTTTCCCCTCTACATTCCTTTTCTGCACTAGCACCTGGGCACTCTCTCCAGGAAAACACTGCACTCCCCATCGACATTGAAGGTACTGTCCACTCTTCATCTTTCTCTCCCACAACTGTATTCTCTATTTCAAAGTGGCCATTCTCCATAGAGGCTACTCCTGACTCTAAGCCTTTTTATGTGCTATGCCCATGCTTGGAATGCCCTTCACTTTCTCCTAACCCTCTTTTTATTCCAAGTGGCTCAGCTCAAGTCTTTCCCATGGGCCATCTCTTAACTCTGCTGATGACATGGTTTTTCTTCTCTACACCCCTTCTAAAGTCACTGTTAATTCTTGATCCCACATTACCTTGTTGAATTAATCAACTATTTTATTTGTGAGACAATATGAAAGAGAGAGAGAGAGAGAACTCAAATATGGAAAAATATTAACAATTGGTGAATCTTTAAAAAAGTGAGAATGTATGAGACTGTGCAAGAGAAAGTGAGAGAGAGAGAGAGAGAGAGAGAGAGAGAGAGAGAACTCAAATATGGAAAAATATTAACAATTGGTGAATCTTTAAAAAAGTGAGAATGTCTGAGACTGTGCAAGAGAAAGTGTGTGTGTGTGTGTGTGTGTGTGTATGAGAGAATGTATGACATTGTGCTTGAGAGTGTACGAATGTAAGAGTGTGAGGGAGAGAGTAAGAAAGAGTAAGAGAATTTATGAGAGAGTGTGAGAAAGAGAAATACTGTGAAGAAGAAACAAGGTAGGAGCAAGAGAAAACAATTTTTCCTCCATCCGAACTACTAATTCCCAGAGGGCAGGCAATCTTGCTCTGTTGTCCCAGCACAGGGCCTCAGGGCTCTGTCTGTGCCAGGCTAGGTGCCCAGCACCTAATATGCCAGGGACAATTGTCTCTAGGCAAGCCCTGAGGTCCTTTGGGGCCCCCTTGAGTCACTGACCTGTTCGGATGCAGCCCACGATCACCAGCCACCACTCAGGCACTCGAGGCAGAATTAAGGCCAGTTTGTCTCCCTCCTGCAGGCCACAGTTCTGTGTGAAGACGTTGGCTACACAGCGGGTTAGGTCTGTAATCTCTCTGAAGCTCCACTTCAATTCATCCCCTTGGCTATTCACCCACCAAAAGGCTGGGTTTGGACCTCTCTTGCCCTCCTGGTCAAGATCATACACCATGTGTTACTTCAGAGTAAAGGGCATTTATTTGGCTAATCCGCTGCCATAGTCATATTCCAGTGTGAGCATAGCTCTAGGACTGAGATCCCATTTTAAAACATTTATAGAGTTAAGAGAGTTGGGTGTGCCAACTTATTCTGGCCTACTGTAGCTACCCTTTCCCCCTCAAGCCACATAAGACCATCAATAACCTTCACACCTCCTACTGAAGATTTAAAACTCTGCTCCTCCATGTGGCTGTCTTTATTCCATATGGACAGTGAGTTCCACTCTGGGCCTCAGTTTTCTCATCTATTAGATGAGGACAGTAATACTACCTAGAAGGTAGTAAAGTTTAAATGAGTTATTTAAATGAGTAAAGAACATATAACAGCACCTGGCATATAGTAAGTGCTCAATAAATATTATATTATCACAATAAAGTAAAATAAAAGAGGCTAACTTCATTGCTGAATATTTGGGGAAATTTTTAAAAGAATTAAGTTACTTTTGGAGGTGAGGACAGCAAGATAGCAGACTGGGAAGCTCCAGGCCCTTGTTCTACCATAGAAATAATAAGTAGACAACAACAGACTGACTAAAATATCTTTGTGGGAGCTCTAGAAACCAGCCAAGGATCTGCAGCAAAAAAATAAATGTTCAAAACACGAAAAAACTATACGCAAAATGGTAGAAAGTTTTGTGATGATTTTGCTTGCCCTTGACCACACCCTTCCTGGTGAGTTGCCTGCAGTCAAGAGGAAACCACCCAGTTCCTGCTTCTGTCATGGGATGGAAGGAAAATATCGATACTTGTTTGCAATGTTTTGGCTTGTCCAGGGGCTCTCTGAGAAACTGGTTTCTGTCTTTCCTGTCTTGGAAGTCAAATGGGAACGGGTCAAATGAGGGTAGTTTGAATATTAGGTTGGAGGTCTCTGAAAGCAGCAGCAGGTGCCATGGTAAGTAAAAACTGTAGACCTGTGGGCACTCAAGGGCAAGAGACCATGATCAGAGGAACATAATAGAATATCTAAGGCCTAGAGAAGAATTGGGGATGAGACTTTTAGGGAAATTAAGAAATTTAAAAGTAGCCGTGTATATGGGAAAATTGGTAGTGGTAGTGGGGGGAGCATACACACAGGTGTAGGGAAGACAAATGCCAGAAAAGGCCTAAAAGATTTTAAGCCTTCATGCTGGGCAGATTGGTGAAGTTCTTCCCCTGTACAGAGCCAGTCTGAAATACTGAAAGAGGTGGCTATTTTATTCAAATGCTTAACTTTCAACAAAAGATCATAAAGCATACAAAGGAACAGGGAAATATGGCACATTCAAGGGAGCAAAATAAATCTCCAGAAACTGACCCTAAAGAAACACAGACTTCAGTTACTAGACAAAGATTTTAAAACAAATGTGTTATATATGCTAAAAGAGCTAAAGGACCACATAGAGGAAAACCAAAATGAAATCAGGAAGACTATGAACAAAATGATAACATCAACATCAACAACGATGTAGAAATTCTAGGAAAAAGAACCAAATAGAAATTCTAGAGCTGAAAAATACAATAACTGAATTAAAAATTCACAATGGGGATTCAACAGCAGATTCAAACAGGTAGAAGAAAAAATCAGTAAACTTGAAGACAGTTCATTTGAAATTGTTGAATCTGAGGAGCAAAAAGAAAAAAAGAATACAGAAAAGTGAACAGAACTTAAGGAACTTATGGGGCACTATCAAGCAGACCTATATGGACATTTTGGTAATCCTAGAAGGAGAAGACAGAGAGAGAAAGAAGGGAGCATAGAGATTATTTAAAGAAATAATGGCCCCAAACTCCCCAAATTTGAGAAGACATGCATATAAAAACATGAGGCTCAACAAACTTGAAGTAGTATGAACTGAAAGAGACCCATACTAACCAATATTGTAATCAAACAGTGAAAACCAAAGACATAGACATGATCTTTAAAGCAGCAAAAGAGGGCCGGCCTGGTGGCGCACTCGGTAGAGGGCGGTGTTCCCACCGAGGGTTTGGATCCCATATAGAGACCGGTCAGCTCACTGGTTGAGTGCGGTGCGGGCGCAACACCGAGGGTTGCGATCCCGTTACCAGTCACGAAAAAAGACAAAAAGGAAAAAAAAAAAAAGCAGCAAAAGAAAAGCAACTCATCATGTACAAGACACCCTCAGTAAGATTTCTCAGCAGAAACCTTGTAGGACGGAAGGCAGTGTGATGATATATTTAATGTGCTGAAAGAAAATATGTCAACTAAGAATTCTATATGTAGCAAAACCATCCTTCAAAAATGAGGGAGAAATTAGGATATTCCCAGATAAGCAACCGTTGAGGGAATTCATTACCACCAGACTTGCCCTACAAGAAATGTTAAAAGGAATACTCAAATTGAAATGAAAGGACATTAGAGAGTAACTCAAATATGAAAACAAAGTTCTCTTGTAAAGGTAAATACATGGACAAATATAATGTTGTAAAATATAATTTTGGTTTGTAATTTTACTTTTTATTCTTTTACAATATTTAAATGATGAAGCATAAAAATTATAAATCTATCTATGTTAATTGGTATACGTTACACAAAGGTGTAATTTGTGACATCAATAACATAAAATGAGTGGTGGAACAAAACTGTAAAGGAGTATGGTCTTTGTATGTGATTAAAGTTATTAGTTTAAAATAGATTGCTATAACTACAGGATGTTATATGAATCTCCATAGTAACCTCAAAGAAAATATCAGCAGAAAATGCACAAAAGGAAATGAAAAGGGAATCAAGAAATGTTACCACAAAAAATATTGACTAACCACATTGGAAGGCAGTAAGAGAGAAAATGAGGGACGAAGAAGCTATCAGACACCAACCCCCCCCCCAAATAAACAAAAAAACCAATTAACAAAATGTCAATCCTTTCCTATCAGTAATTACTTTAAATGTAAGTGGACTGAACTCTCCTGTCAAAAGACATAGATTGGCAGAATGGATTAAATAAAAAGGACACAACTATATGCTTTCTATAAAAGATAAACCACTTCTATATGATGAAATATAATGAAACAATAAAAAAGTTCAGAATTGTTTTTGCAATAAAAATGCTTACAAAAGTACACTATTTAAAAGAATAAAACCATATTTATAATGTAATTTAAAGCCATTTAGTCATATTCATTCATTCACCTCCTGCTCTCTACTTTCCTCCTCTCCAGCCCATCCCATGTTTCAAAAGTTCCAAACCAGATTTCTGGTCTTGGCAATGGGTAAAGTCAATTGATAATCTGAAGGCAGACATATTTTGGTATTATCAAATTGTGGGACTAGGTTAAATGATTGTGGAATCAAGGCAGCCTGGACCCAAATCCTGATCCTCCACTTATTAGATATGTGATCAGTATTCTTAAATCCTCGGAACCTCAGTTTCCTTGTCTGGAAAATGGGGACGATAACAGTGCCCATCTAATCAGAGGATTCAATGCAAAGTGGTTGACATCGCCCATAAAAAATGTTCTTCATAACTGAGGGCTCTATTATTCTTGGAGTTATTATGGAAATTCAGAAAAAAGAAAAAGAAGGAGGGTGGGGTGGAAGACACCATGAAAGGTGTATAAGCCTTGAATAGTAACTTAAAAATGCATGTTCATGAGAAACTTAAAAATCATATCAACTCTTCAGCTCCATCTTAGGTGAATTCTCTCTTCTGTACAAAGATGGTGCTGGGTGAGTTTTCATACTGCAGACATTGCTAGCTGGGACTTAGCTAGAAACACCATCCATTGTCTACACTGACTTCTAGTGAGTGTCTCTATTGCTTCTCTCTTGGTTTGTGTCTTAGGAAAATACAAAACAGGAACTTGAGTTTTGTGCAGAGACATATAACCTCTGGAGGTGAGAGGGATTGGTTTATCTGGACATACCCTAAGGCCATACTCAATCAGGGAGTAGATAGGGAGAAGTCCAGTTAGACTTGCCACCCTCATAAGAAGGCGAATGACCCGATTTGGGTAAATGTGTCATTTGCTCATGTGTGCAGTCAAGTGTTCTATCCCCTTCTCTGGGTATAGCCTAAAGTTAAGCCCAAGTGTGATAAGATGAATTCCACTTAGACTCACTGTCCCATTAGTTGAAAGTGAGAACTCAGACTAGCATGAACTTGCTGACCTTGTGATTAGAACTTTGCCCTTGGTCACAATTATGGAGCACTGATTGTGTACCAGATACTTTAACCTGTTATCTTGTTTTTTAAATGAGCTTATCCTCATTTCACAGATTAAACCACCGAGGCTCAGAGAAGTAAAAAAATGGCCAGGCTGGGGACTGAACCCCGAAGTATAAGCTTAAATAAATAAATAGAGGCAGAAGCTGTCCTTGGTTCTGTGCCTCTCAGCCTAGTAGGAGCAAGATAAGGCCAGTAAAGCCACCCCGTCCCCTCCCCATCACTAATTCCCCCTCACCTTCTCTATTTGAGCCCAATAGTCCAGCACATGGCTTGCAAAATTAAATTCCTCGGGTCTATCATAGTCATTCCAATTTGGTGCTCCAGCTCCTGATAAAGACTGGCAGCGCAGCTGCCGAGGGGCAGGGTGGAAGCCATGGAAGGATGTGTGAATGCCCCAGAGGACCCGGGACCTCATCAGCCACTGCATGGTGGGATAATCCTCAGGAACCAGGCACAGAATTCTCCAGTCACCACCTGCCTTAGAAAGAGATGGACAATCAGTTGGTCATGTGGCAAGGATGTTCTCCACAAAATGGATGCATGTTCCTGGTTTACTGTTAGAGTTACAGCTTGTTTAAGCTCACCAGAATCTGGAAGGCACAACTTGTTGATTTAGGTGAGGACTTATCTTCCCAGATGAGGAACCACACAAGGCAGAAAATGCTGGGGAGGATCTAAGGCTAGTATACGAGGTTGGTACACATTCCTGGGGGCCTTTCGTTCCTTCAACCCTGTGGGATTTAAGGCCAAGACAGCATCTATGTGGCCATCCTCTCTGTGGTAAAAATTCACCATTTTGAATGTTCTATCCCTCATGCTATTCTTTCTCTGGAGACCTCTTTTCCTGTCAAGCCCAAATATGTGGTTCTCATGGAAGCTGTCTTATCTTTAGATGATCCCACCCCCTGAATAAGGTTAATGGTCCAGGGTTGAGCTTCTTCATTATTTTTAAACCCACGTTGGGCCAATCATAATCCCTCTTCAAAATGTGTGTGTGTGAGTGTGTGTGTGGGGGTACCAAAGAGTAGATAAGCCTCTCTCTGGTGGAAGTCGTAAAGTGCATGTATTGGAGAACTGTCTGTGGTTGTGATTCCTATGGTGTGGAAATAGCCCCCTACATAAAAGAACAAACCTAATATACGGATAGTGGAGATGAGGGGCATCCAGATGCCTGGAGGCATTCAGGTCCCTGATTCATATTGCTCCTGAGACCCCTCTGCATTTCTGCCCCTTTCTGATTAATATCCTTCCCAGGATTCTGTGAGCCAATAATTTCTCTTTTGCCTGATATTGGGTTTCTGTCACTTGAGACTATATGGACACTGACAAATACATACCACCATCCTCAGGGAGGACACTGCTAAGATCACAGCACCTCCCCTACTGGACTGGGATGTGGCCTCGAGATCTTCTCTATGACAGCATTCCAGGCAGCCATTACCAACTCATTCGAGTTGATACATGAAATAAAACCTCTTTGCCCCCCAGATCCTGACAAATGTCCCCAACATGGGAGGAGAATCCTCATTTATTAGGGTTCTTTTTAAAGTTTGATTGTTAAAATTGACTTTACCTAGAACCTATCTTTCAATAAAAATGTTGACCGAAGGAAGCCACTTCACAAGCAGCTTTGACATTGAAGCACTTTATTACTGTTAATAATTAAGTCCCCTGCCTCTCAGTTTCAGCAACAATATAATACTATTTGACAATAGACCCATAGAATAGGCCAGTAAAACTGGTAATTTCCAGCAACTTTGGGCCTTTATTTTAACCTGGCACCAACTGGCTGGAGCTAAGAATTATCTGCTTCATTTAAATGGGATACTCTCCTATGAAGATAGACAAATGGCCAAGAGACACATGAAAAAAATGCTCAACATCGCTTAGCATCAGGGAAATGCAAATCAAAACCACAGTGAGATATCATCTCACCCTGGCTAGATCGACTATTATCAAAAAGACAGAGAATAACAAATGCTGGTGAGGATGTGGGGAAAGGGGAACACTTCTACACTGTTGGTGGGACTGTAAATTGGTGCAGCCATTATGGGAAACAGTATGGAGGTTCCTCAGACAATTACAGATAGAACTGCCATACAATCCAGCAGTCCCACTGCTGGCTACATACCCAAAGGAATGGAAATCATCATGTTGAAGGGACACCTGCACTCCCATGTTTTTTTCAGCTCTGTTTACAGTAGCCAAGAGTTGGAACCAACCGAAAAATATCCATTGACAGACAACTGGATAAGGAAAATGTGGTATATATACTCAGTAGAATACTACCCTGTCATAAAAAAGAATGAAATTTTGCCATTTGCAGCAACTTGGATGAACTTAGAGAAAATAATGTTAAGTGGAATAAGCCAGGCACAGAAAGAGAAATACCACATGTCCTCACTCATTAGTGGGAACAAAAGAAAGAAGAAGGAAAAGAAAGAAAACCAACCGAAAAATATCCATTGACAGACAACTGGATAAGGAAAATGTGGTATATATACTCAGTAGAATACTACCCTGTCATAAAAAAGAATGAAATTTTGCCATTTGCAGCAACTTGGATGAACTTAGAGAAAATAATGTTAAGTGGAATAAGCCAGGCACAGAAAGAGAAATACCACATGTCCTCACTCATTAGTGGGAACAAAAGAAAGAAGAAGGAAAAGAAAGAAAGTAAGAAAGAAAGAAACAATCACAACAATACATTAAACTTAAAAAAAAAAAAAAAAAAGAACAGAACTGTGGTTATTAGAGGTGGGAAAGGGGGAGTGGAAGGGGAGTTAGAAAAATTAATTGAGTCACAAAGATTGGTTGTGTTTTGTAAACATGAGTATATGAGTTGTCTTGATGTGATCACCACATATTGTAGGCATGTACTGATATTCGATCCTGTACCCCACAGATTATATATATCTTCATTTATGTTTTAATAAAGAAACTGTCAAAAAATGGGATGCTCTCCAATTTAGCACGGTTCCCACCACTTTCTATTTTGTCAGACCTACCTGATTCTCCATTTACTGTAGCTGCCCTGCCCTGTGGGCATTTGAGTTTAAAACCCCCGATCTAGACCAGTATCCCAGGAGGAAAAGGGATTTCCCCAAGGTTGCAAGGCAAGTTTAACAGCAGAGCCTGTTGTAGAAGCTTACCACCTCTGCTATTTTTTTCAAAACACATCACCCTCCACAGGCATGAGCTGATTTAGAGTGAGAATACCAGACTCAGTTGCTATTTTTCTACACAGGTATATATATGTGACCTTAAGATCTTTCTTAAAATACTTTGACAGTGCAAACAATCCCGTAATAAGTGGCTAAGGACCAAAACAAAAGGGAGAGATATAATGAGGAAATTTATTAACCCTTTATTATGGGTAGAATTGTGTCCCTCTCAAATGCATATGTTGAAGACCTAACCCCTGTGAAAAGAAAATGAAATGATTAAGGCTAAGACTTTAAAGTAAAGTTGGGAGATTGGAAAAGGATTGCACTTACCTGCTAAAGATCAAACCACGGGATGTTTCATTTCAACTAAAGTCTGTATCTGCTGGCTTTCAACACCTCTCAGTTGGAAGTACCTTAACAGACTAACCAATCAAAATGGGTTTGCAATTTAAGATCTCTGCCAAGCCAGTGACTGCCTCCAAGAACAGCTTTTTTTTAAAGTGTTAAAAACCTTTCCTGTGCTTGCCTTATAGAACACTATTCAGGACTGTCCTGATTCAGTGTACCAGAATAAATGCTTTTTTTTTTTAACCTCTGTTAATCTTTTCTTTTTTCTTTTTTTGTTAACACCTCCAATACTTCAAAATGTGACTATATTGGAAATAGGGTCTTTAAAAAGTTAAAATGAGGTCACTAGGGTGGGCCTTAATCTAACAAGGCTGGTGTTTTTATAAGAAGGAAAGATTTGAACACACCCACATAGAGGGAGACTGCCGTATGAACGCGAAGAGGGCCATCTACGAGCTAACACTTGATCTTGGACTTTCAGCCTCCAGAACTGTGAAAAAATAAATTTCTGTTGAAATCATCCAGTCTGTGGTTCTTTTCTATGGTAGCCCTAGCAAACTAATATATCTCTCTTGATCAAATAGAGAAGAAAGGACTTTGGCATCATGTTATAAATGTGTTTGCAATTCTAATTTAATCTTAGTCACAAGAGAGGACCAAACACAGTGCCCCGATGAGTAGGGCTGTTGTAGCTGAGAGCATGGCCTTAGGAATCAAACAGTACAGGTTCAAATTTCAGCTTGCTCCACTTACCACCTTTGTAACTTTGGGCAATTCACCTAACCTCCCTCTAAAACATGGAAATATTGGCAGCATCTTTGGCCTAGAGCTGAGATGGTGAATAAGAGACATCCTGCATAAAGCATTTAGCACACATCCAGCACAGATAAGTACACTTGAAATATGAGCTAGTGTTAGTTAACATTCTTTCTGGGGAAACTCTCAATGAGTAATTAAACCTGATGAAAAGAAATAGCTTCATAACCTTTGGAATTAAAGTCTAAAGAGAAGGAATGTGGATAAATTCTTAAATGTGAGCAATGCAGGGTCCAGCTTTTGCACTGATATGTACAGATATGAAAGAACTGATCTCACAGTGTTAAGAGGACTAAAAGTCAGAGTTGTCTATATCTATATGTCTATCTCTATTAATATCTCATTTATAGCTGTATCTATTTCTGTAGCTATAGCTACGTCGATATTTAGAATTGTATCTGCATCCATATTTATGCCTATCTATATCTATAACTATATTGATATCTTTCTATATAACTACATCTACATGTACACTATATCTATATCTGTATTCTACACCTATATCTATATTCATATCTATTTATTCCTCACAGTGCTTGACACATAGTAAATACTCAGCAAAACGTTACATTCTTTTCTTCTTTACTGTAATCCAGGAAACTGAGAGATGAAAGTTGGAAAGATAAAAGCCAGTGTGCTCACAAAATACCTGAATTATCAAAAAGCATATTTTTCATTTTCTCAAATATTTATTGTGGATGTTCCATGTATGGTTTTAGATACTATCAGAGACATTAAACTAGAAGAGTTCCTACTCTCTTGGAGAATATAGCTAAGGACACCCTATGAAATAGTTTTATGTAACAATCTTTTGAAGTGTTCTAAAGTGAATTCCAAAATCAATTTGGCCTTGTGCCTGGGCTCACCACTGTATGCCACATCATACCTTGAAGGGTTCCCACAACCAAGCTTTGACTTCACAAGCCTTTAGACCAAAAAAGCTATTTAATGAGGCAACATACTTAGGTGTTATAGGAGATCCCAGAGTTATAGAGCCAAGATTTGACTTTTGGCTCTGCAACCTACCAGCTGGGTGATGTTGGGCACTTTCCATGTTTCTGAACTTGAGGGCACAGTAATAATAGCCTACTTCCCG